CATATCGCTGAAATCGGACTATTATTAACGAAGTGAGTATTCACTTATGCAGATGGTTTTTTCATCTATTTTGTTAATTATTGTCCAAATTATATCGTGTTTGGTATCATCTTCATTGTAAAAGTATCGGCGATCGATTTATACTGTTGATGGAGAGTTCTGATTACAAGGAGAAAATGGAACTCACTAGCTGCATATTCGGTGGTAACGACGAAGTCATATGAAGTGGGGGAGTCAAGGGTTACCCCCTCCAAAAATTTGCAGACCTGAGCCTAGGAGTCCTAGGCTAGGACTCTGCTGGTTCTTCAAACGTGTTACAATCATTCTTCAGTTTGCTGTGAGGCGTGAGTGTCGTGGTCGGAGATTTTTGTGACGATTATTTGGTGAATTTTTAATTCGAGACAGAAGTTGTTCAACTTCAAGTAAGTATCGCTATCAGTTGTTGTTTGTTCCAACACATATTCTTCTTGTTACTTATTGCGGGTATATTATTAATTATAATTTTTTTTTACAGTTCCCGTGCTTCCCTAAAGTTTTCTTTGCTGGACAGACACGTACAAGATGTATACATTAATATTATTCTTACTTTGTACTTGCGACACCGCGAATAGTTTAACTTCAATCACTTGCTTTTTTCTGAATTATTTTGTTTTCTATTAATTACAATAGTTTCATAATGACTGGAAAACGTAGGTTGGACAAATATTACATGCGTGCAAAGAGAGATACGCGTAATCTATACACGTCTTCACGTCAGGAAATCTCTAGACTCTAGAGTCTAGAGAATTAACAGTAAGCTCGGGAACTCATAACTTTGTTAATAACTTTCCTTTCGTTCATGTAACTGAAAATAATTTTGCGCGTGCAGATAGTCCAGCAGATTATGAAAATGTAATTTTCGAACAAACCGCAAACGTAAAGGATAACGTAGTATACAGCGATCAGAGCTCAAAAATTGCAAAAGAAACCGATCAAAGTTTTCAAGATTTATTAGTAACCTGGATTTTACAACATAAGTTTTCTCTCTCAATACAACAATTATTGAGCCGGGTGAGTATTATCATTTCGGATTAAGAAATAGCGTGTTAAATCTCGTACAAACAATAGATATATGTTCGATTATTAACGATACAATTCATATTAATATTAACATTGACGGGTTGCCAAAGTAAAAGTTCAAGTAGCCAGGTTTATCCAATTTTATGTAGCGTCGTAGGAAATAAAAATGTGGACATAATTGGTGTTTATCATGGTTATGAGAAACCCAAGCATATCAACAGTTTTCTTAGTAATTTTGTGCAAGAAGCAATAGATATAATTAACAACGGGTTTTTAATTAATTTACATCAATTAAAAATAAAATCTTTTATATGTGATGCTCTCGCTAAAGCAATGATTAAATGTGTGAAAGGGCATACAGGCTATTTTTCTTGCAGTAAATGTAAATCTGAGGGTGAATTTTTGGAAAATAGAATATGTTTCCCTGACGTGGAGAACATTCAATTAAGACCTGATAGTGAATTTAGATTAAAATCACAAGAAGACCATCATACGGGGTCTTCAATTTTAGAGCAAATACCGGGTATTAATATGATAGATAGTTTTACGTTAGATTATATGCATCTTGTTCGTCTAGGAGTAATGAAAAAATTACTAGTTAATTTGTGGTGTTGTGGCAAACCTTCGACAAAAATCTCAAATAAACAAGTCACAGATATATCTAATAGTTTAATTGAACTTCGGAAGTGTATTCCTTTAGAATTTAATAGAAAACCTCGCTCTCTGCACGAAGCAAAAAGGTGGAAAGCGATAGAATTTCGGCAATTTTTGTTTTACACTGGTCCAGCAGTTTTAATCAATAATTTAAATAAACATCAATATTTAAATTTTCTTTCGCTTCACGTAGGATTATCAATTTTGACAAATGCAAGGTATTTCGAATACATAGATTACGCGGCACAAATTTTAGAACATTTTGTTACAACTTATAAAATATTGTACGGGTCTGAAAACGTTTCTCATAATATTCACAGTTTACTGCATATAACAGGAGATGTTAAAATACATGGACCACTCGATAACTTTAGTTGTTTCCCATTCGAAAATTTTTTACAAAACATTTTAAAATTTATTAGAAAAAAAGATAAACCCTTGCAACAAATAGTAAAAAGATATTTAGAAGAACGCAATCTCACATGCACTCGAAACAATAGAAACATACATTATCCAATTTTTAAAAACGAACATTTCAAAGGTCCATTAGTAGGAAACATTTCTTGTTCGAAACAGTTTGAAACTATTGTATTTAAAAATTATATTTTGAAAACTACCGATCCCAATAATTGCTGCACCTTTCGCGACGGCAGTATTATTCTTATGCAGAATGTAGTTAAAATAGAAAATAAATATAAATTAGTCGGTCGAAAATTTTTAACTGCAACAGATTTTTATACTAACCCAAGCAAATCCTCACTGCTGGCCATCGTTTTAGTAGATCCAT